TAGTGGTAGTGGTAGTGGTAGTGGTTGTGGTTGTGGTTGTGGTAGTGGTAGCGGTAGCGGTAGTGGTAGTGGTAGTAGTAGTAGTAGTAGTAGTAGTAGTAGTAGTAGTAGTAGTAGTGGTAGGGGTAGTGGTAGTAGTAGTAGTAGTAGTAGTAGTAGTAGTTTGGCCACACTTCGAATGCTGCTGCTACTTAATATTGCTGATGCATCGCAGCAGCTGGCAAATTCGGTGCACTGAGGCATCTGCCGCAGACCCCTGTGCCACAGGTTCGACAGGGAGGGAACGGATTATTCAGACGTTGCCTCGGTTCGACATGGCTCAGGGTCAGGGTTTCGGGCTAGTCACCAGATCGGTGATCCCGCCTTTAGCTTTGTCTTGCCCACATCCTGGCTGACCACACCTGGAGCTGTTGTCTGGACACTAGCTGCGGTGGTTAAAGCTCCCGAGCGCCCTCTGCGCACTATTGCCATGAAGGTTTCGTGCGATGTAGTAGAACCCACCGTGAAACCCCGGATGTGGTGATCAATGTGAGAGGCTCCACCTGCAGTGGCCAATGTGCCGCCCGCACCGCCTCTCGCTGAACCAGAGCTTGTCATCCTGATGTCATCATGCAACCGCTTCTGGTTATGATTCCTTGTGCAACTGTTAAGAGCATTGTCAATAATGATGACCTTCACGACGACGAAGACAGCAACAGCCAATGGCTGCGCTGCGGCAGCTGGTGCTGCTGATGCTGCTGCTGCTTTTCCTACTTCTGCTTCGGTTGCTGCTGCTGTCATCTAGCAGATCTAGCATGTAGGGCGGAAAGCTGGCAGAGATCCGGAGTTGACCCTGGGATTGGGCTACCAAACCCAAGTCTCCAAGGATCTGCGTCCCGGCCCCTGCCGACTCGGGCATCGCACCGGCTCCCGCAGGAATCGCTGTGCCTCCCGCAGCAGCACCTGAGCTAATCTGGAGTGTTGGTGTCATCCTATCACGGCTGTTGGTTTGGTTTTTTGGGGTTCTTTGGTCTGACGGTGGTTTTCTGAGAGCTCCAATGTAACCATAGTGAATCAAGAGACTGCCAAGTGCTCATGACGCCACCAGTGTTTCGACCAGACCAGTGTGGAAGCCTACGAAAGCCAAAGGCTGCTTCTTGACACAACCAAAGTACTCCAGAACACTGCAGCTCTGGATGCCCGCATGCGGGGAAGAAAGAGGAAGGGCAGCAGCAGCAGAAGTGTTTCAGTGGTTTCAGCCGCTGTCATCAGAAGCATGTTCTAAGGTGCCCACTGGCGCGCCCTTAGCAGCCAGCACAGTGCCAGCTGTGGCATCAGCTGTGCCCAGATCTCAGACGAGCGGACCTGGCAGATGCATCATGCTTTTCAGGACATCCAATCAGGCCGACTGCTTGCTCGTAATGAGAATCTAACAGAGACTCTGGCATTGCAACAGTGACGATGCTAGCTACAATTCGTTACGCAGGCCTACTGGGAACGAGGCAGCTCTACGACACTACCCTAATCCGCTGCAATAAACCATGCTAATCGTCAAGGAAGCCTGAAGACACACAGACGGAAAGACACCACAGCGACAAAGGTAGAGAGGTTTATTGATGACAGCGACAGACAGCCAGACTGCCCTTTTTCAAACTCCCCCAAGCCATAGTAGCTATAACATAATGGAGAGGCCATTCAGGGCTGAATCCCTCGGTTTCATGTGGCTTCGCCAGGAGACTCGTCTGAACCTTTTGGTCAGTCGAACAGGCCCCAGGCTCCTCGATTTGAGAGTAGAGAAGCAAACAAAACGGCTTAAAGGGGTTTAGAGGATTCGGGGCCTCAAAAATTAGCATGGAGTTTTGAGGTATATTATACCCGACTTTTAATAAGGAACCCCCGAAATGGTGTATAGGTAATTATTAAGGCCCCTACATTAGGGGTTAAGGGGTTTCAGATTTCAGAGTCTCAAGACCTTGGGACCCAAAGCCCCCAAGCTCAAACCCTAGAGGCCCTGAATTCCAAACCCTGAGCACTAGGAAGCCTATAGATTTCTGCATCGGTTTAGGGTTTGGGGTTTTAAACCATAAGCCCTAAACTTTTAGGGATTCGCAAACTAACTTAATTGCAACAGGGCTCGGATGCATGGGCATATGGCTCTATGAGGATATAAGGAACTGCTTACAGGGATATGATGCTGTAGCTCTCCCGGTTGTTCTTCTCAACCTTGAAGGCTATGCCGGGAAGCTCAAAGCCCTTCGCCCTCCACGCCTAAACTCACCCCGAACCCCAAGCCCTACTTGGAGGATCATGGGACTAAGTAACCAGGGTTATACATAAGGTAATTATACTTACAAGTAGTTATAACCCCAATTAAGGTAGTTATAACCCTACTTACTAAGTCCCATGATCCTCCAAGCACACCCCATTCACACGAAACCCTAAACCCTAAACCCTAAACCCCTAAACCCTAAACCCTAAACCCGAAACCCAAACTGTCGCAGCCAAAGGCCGGGCATCCCTTTGCCACCGGCCGCGCCCGCGGGAGCCCCGAGCCTTCCGGCGATCCGGCCGGGAGGCGCTTGGGCGCCGCCTCCAGCGCAGGCCCTCCAGGCGGGCGAAAGACTGGAGTTTAGGGTTTTAGAGCTTAGTGGGGCCTTAATAATTTTAATAGGGTTTGGGGGTGTATTATATACTATAAATATAAGAAGGAACCCCTAAAATAAAAAGGTAGGACCAGGCTGTAAGTTTCAGGGTTAGGCTTGGGGCTGATGTGCAGAAGCACACGAGGCAAGCGCAAACACCATTGCTTCTATCATCACAAGCAACAACGACAACACACTCTACGAAACGAAATGGCAGGGATCCTCTGTTTCTGCTGCATGGATGACCACATGCTTGTCGGAAAGATGTCTTGTGTTCGAGACTCGAGACACACTTTACTTGTTCAGCTGTTGGTACTTCCAGCTCCTAAAACCCGAAACCCTAAATAATCATGGCATCATCTTTCGTTGCCTCATAGACGGAGCAAGTCTGGGGCAGCCCACGCTGCTTGCCGAAGCGTCTCAACCCATCAAGTTGCAGTAGAATATACACTACAGGTCGTCAAGCACACAATATGAAAGCGAGTGCTAGGAAATATTACGAATGAAAAAGACTACTCAGGATATTGGTCATACGACATGAGAAGATCATGCCACCAGCCAGGCTTAAGTACTGTACTTGCAGGCCACTGGAAAGTACCACCTTAGAACATCTGTCCGCATGTTCGCAGCTAAACCCTAAACCCTAAACCCTAACCAGGTGTGGAGGTCCAAAGCCACAGCCAAATTGGCCTTCGACCTAACTTAACAGGGCAGGTGGGTGACAAAAAAACCCTTCTAACCCTAATCCCTAATTTTATTGGAAACCCCTAAACCCTAAACCGTGGACTGATTGGCAGGTGCCAGGTGTCCCTGCAACTTCGCCTCCTCAGTGTCCCGGCAGCACGTGCCTTCCTTGCCAAGTTCCCTTGTGATCCTGACCTTGGCCTAATTTGGGGGCCTCAACAATTACCAATATTATATAGTTTAGTAGGCCCCAAAACCCTATTCTGATTGTTAAGGCCCTTATGTTACTTCAGATAGCTGTTGCCCTTCCTTTGTTGCTGACATTTTGCATCTCGTGGCCTCAAGGAACGTTCCGGGAGACGGCCAACTTCACTCTGGGTTCCTTTACAACTATTTGCAGCCACGCAGAAGGTGTGAACGTCAACAAACCCCTAAGAATTGATAGTCAGGTTCCAAGAAAGCGTATAGAACTTTTATGGAAACGAGTGTGCCTAAAGGGATCCGAAAACGGACATGGAAGTTCGCTGAGGAACGGGCTGACACCCGAGGCCATGGCTGCATTGCAGGCGGGCTCCCAGGAGAAGCTTTGGTCGGATTGAGGTTGGGTTTAGGGTTCGAGGGATGAGGCTTTAGGATTTAGAGGGTTTAGGACGTAGCATTTACAGGGTTTAGGGAGAGGGAAAGCTAAGCTAGCTGACAAGGCTCACTGAAGGACTACTCAATGGTTGCGCTGTTCTGGTTTGCTCATATAACCAACACTTATGCAGTGCATGTGTATGTGTGTACAGATATAACTATGTAAGTATACCTTATGCTTGTACTGCATATATGTAAACATAGGTAGATATATAGTTGGTTTTGTTTGCATCGATGCGTTTACATTTACGCATAGGCTGCGGTTGCGTCGCTGCATGTATTCTTCTACATATATACACACACATACATACGTACGTACATACGTACACGCATGTATGCATATGTACACACAGAGATGTTCGGCTGCGGGACCTTCATATGCAGGTGACGAGAAATGGAGTCTGTGTTATTAGATGGATCCTACTTTTTGGGTTTGCAAACAGGTAGTACTGTTGGCACCCGCGCCTGTAACTGTAAGTTTGAATCCCGATGGCAGCGACGGCAGCCACGAATTCTTGGCACTCAGACGCAAACATCGCCTGCCAGTGAGCGCCCCATGCAGTCTAGACGCAAAAGGTGACGCCGTCTAGACGCCAAAGGTTCGATTCGTTCCAATGGAGACCCGATTTCCTGTGGAATGTCGGCCCCTGAAAGGCGCAGATACAGCAGATGGGTCTCAGCAATCCAGCCACCACTGGTGCTGAGGCACGGGCAGCATACTATAAGCTTGCCGCTGCTTTAGCAGAGCATGGGTGTAGGGCCACGGCGGCTCACGGTTTGAAGCGTTGGAAGTTTGTGCTTACGGGGCTGCCATGTTGGATCAACATGTTCTTATCCAGGGTGCTCATCAGGCTTGCGGGGCCTAGTGCAACATTTGTCGGCAAAGTTTTTCTGTGTTACTTGTATAATTAAGGTGACTAGTCACTAGTCTCATTGTAAGTGTTGGTGGATCACCGAGCCTTTCCAACCTTGGCCATGGGTTGGAAAACTGTGCAGGCTGCACAGTCTGGGGGGGGGGGGGGTTCAGGGCATTTTGTATGAATGAACCCCTCGGAGCATTATACTAATCACTAAGGCGCCTGATAGAAGCATGAACCTGAACCGTGAACCTGTGACTGTGACCATGACAGGTTCCAGGAGTAGCTGCGCCTATGGTCGCACTAGCACCGATAGCTAGTGGCTAGTGCTACCACACTAAGATATCGTCGTTGACATGAGCGCATTGACCGCCTCGAAAGCCACTAGCTCAGTCTCGTCAACGGCTCTTACCAGTACTGAACCCAAACCCCGTACTCCAAAACCCAAAACCCCAAGAACCAACCCGTGACGCAACAGAAACACACACACACACAGAGACAGACACAAAATAGGTATTGTCACCGACCTCGGGAGCTCCGGAGAACCCGAAGGAGCCGACGGAGTATTGGGGCTTCGGGGTTGAGTGGTCGAGGGTTGCGCTCAAGTTCGTGTTTCATTGTTGGGCGTGACGCTTCGAGGTTGGCTGCAATCCAGGCTATTGCGGTTTACTTCTGCTGCCTCGCTGCTTGCTTCCAGTGTTTGACATTGTTGTGAAGGCTGCTCCAGTGTTGATTTTGAAGCCGATAGTCACGTCCAGGGGCACTTCCCCTCAGTCCCCAAACGCTTGTCCAGGTCGTGTCACCGTCTGCAAATGTCATGACGAGAAGGACGATGTTGAAGTCTTTGGGTTGTTGACGACGATGCAGACTGCAGACGACGAGGACGGCAACCTTTGTCGTATTGACGGCGGTGCCGGTGAAGATATGATAATGTTGATGACGGACTTGGCAGCGATGGCAGTGTTAATAATTGTGATTATTCCGTGACGATGGTATGGGTGTGACGATGGCCGTGCACAGTAGTGATATCATTAGAGCAGATTAGAGTTGATTAGAGCAATAAGTATCCGTAGAACGAAAGACCCATCGGATGGAGACGGATTGGCACGGGACCGGATGAGATGCAGATGATTAGGATGGCTATGGGCATCGATGTCGTGACGACGATGATGAACACGGGCAGTAGCGTGAAGCTGACAACGTTCATCGCATGATATCAAGGATAACAGCTAACACAAAAAAGCGCAAAGGTTAATCAGCTAAAACAGCATCAGAATGGAAAGCAAAGCCCTCAAAGGCACCTCCCAGCACGCCGATGAGCGGCCTGGAAATGCCAGCGAGTGTGGACCTCTCGGCAGCGTTGGATCCCAGCAAGGCTCCAAGATGAGCAGGGCATACCTATCCTAGGATGTCACTGGTAGGACAACCATGCTACATGTTCGACTGTAGACTTCAGCCACAGTCTAATTCCGCCAGGAAACGGGGTAGCAAAAGGCCTGCGCAACGAAGCTTTGGATCCGCCTGGGTAGCGTTCAAGCAGCAGCTGACCGTCTTCGAACGCGAGGTATAAGCCCCAAGACCTACAACCTGAACATCAGATTACTGTTTTATTGTTATTATTGTGATTATTCTTTTTTATTTATGAGTATTGCCCTAAAGGTCTAAAGCCTAAAACCCAAATCCTCAACCTGCCTGTAACAAGATGGAAAAGAAACTCTTAAAGCCATCTGAAGCCCAGACCCGAAACTCTTAATGTAGGGGCCTTAGTAATTAGAATAGGGTTTGGGGGCCCAGTATACTATGATTATAGCAAAGAACCCCCTAAAATAGTATAGGTAATGATTAAGGCCCTACACTAATTATACTAAGGAACCCCCCAAAATAGTATATGTAATTACGATAAGGCCCTACATTAGTTAAATAAAGAACACCCAGACTAGTATAGACATAGGTATAAATAGTAGCTCCCTACCAGTTCCCTTGGCAGTTTGCCGGCCTCACGGGCCAGATGTCGCCACCGGCTGATGCAGTGCCTCGGATTTAAGAAAAAGGGGCCCTTCGGAATTAGCATTGGGCTTTGGGGTTCCTTTAAAAGGTTCCTGAAAGGGTTCTATAAGGGCTGCTGTAAGGGTTTAGAGTATAAGGGGGCCTTAAGAATTAGAATATAGGGTTTGGGGGTATGTTATACTATAATTATGATAAAGGGATTAGGGGTTTAGGGGCCTTAAGAATTAGAACAGGGTTTGGGGTATATTATACTAGAATTATAGCAAGGAACCCCCCAAGACCCTATTATTCTAGTTAGAAAGGCCCCTACATTAGCAGTGGAGATTCTGGAAAGAGACGTATTGGGGTTGGAGCTTTGGGGGTTTTGGGGCTTGTCCTTCAAAGTCCTTAGATATTATAGGCGGGGATGGTCGATCTGCATGCAGAGTCGAGGCTGCAGCAACGATGCCGCGGATATCATAGGCCGGGTGAGGCAATGCAAAGTTGCGCAGAAGCAGTATTCTCAGTAATCCCTTACATGGGCACAAAGGGCGATTGACATGCACTTACAGATTGTCGTTCAATTGTTCGAAACACTGGACTTGCTGGACCATGCCGATGCACGGACGACCTACCAGGACTGCTGTCCCCGCCTGGGAACTGCACGAGATAAGTCAAGCATCCGGCATGTTCAGCTGTTCTGCTGCAGGCCAGGACACGTAGAACTGAGTGACAGAACGAAGAGAATAATTACTATCCACGCAGGCCTGACTCGCACTCGGCATTTCGGAGGAGCAGATGTCAGCACTCATGGTTTCGGGGCTGTAGGGAATGCCGAGGAGCGGACAAGGACTGCCGAAGCGTTTCACGCAAGTGCAGTTCTCTGTGAGCTTCAGTGCAATCATCTTCATCACCCAGCCATGATAAGGTTCCACAGTTCAGTCAAGCTCCGAATTTAGCAACATGCACAGTACTCGTCGTATCTACTGAGATGAAAGTGGATAGATAGAGCCTTCGCTCGAGCATCCGAGCATTCTCCCCCAGGGCCGCAGAGCCAGGGCTCTTCGAAAACCCAGTAACCGAGGGGTCTGGATAATTCCGCATAACCGAATAGTATCCCCCTGTAGTCCCCAATATCGTGATTATAGTAGAATCTACCTCAAGCCTTATTCTAAGCGATAAGGCCCCTAATTAACCTCCGCCCTGTAAAGCTCAGGAAGGGTTGTTGGGGTGTGAGAGCGCCAGTCGGTACTACTGTGCATCACCCGACCCAGATCTCGCACACAATCCCGGTATGAGTCCGCCCAAAGCAAACAACGTACCTTTGTGTCCTGAGCATTCCTGAGCTTTGGACACTTCAATGAACCCAAAACCTGCACACCACAACGAACAGTAAGGCTATACTGATGCGCTGAGCGACACCTACTTCGAGCCTCCTCGACCCCTTAACAGACTCTAAGCCCTTAGCCCTTTACCCCAAAGCCCCTGAGGCCCGGAAGGTAGGGCCCTGGCGTTAGTGCAAAGAGCGCGCAGGCGCAGGAACCAATGCAGCGCGGTTTTGCTGGAAGAAGATTGCTCAGGTTTGGGATTTAGGAAGGTACAGCATGGACGGACATGGGGGTTTCCGAAAATAGGGGACCCCAAAAAGGTACCCTACATAATAGGATCCTCATTATAAGGACCACAAAATAAGGTACCCCTTGTTTTCGGAAACTCCCACATAGGGCTCGAGGACTATCGCACTCCCCCTCCTGCTAATTACTTGACTACCATGACCACCACCATCACTACACTGGACTATATCAGCGCTGGTGGTGTGTAGCGTCGCCGCCGTCTTCGTCGTCGTCCTCGCGTGGCTGTGGTGGTGGTGGTGGTGGTGGTGGTGGTGGTGGTGGTGGTGGTGGTGGTGGTCTTCGCAGTGGTGATACGGGTAGTGGGATTCGTGGTTAGAAGTGGTTTTCGTCGTCGTCGTCGTTGTCATACTCGTAGCGGTAGCAGTAGCAGTAGCAGCAATAGGAGTTCTGGTACCAATAGCAGTACCAGGACTGCTGGGGGAAATAGACTCAGGGATAACAACACTGATAAGGGGTGGCAGAACGAGCTACAGTAGTAGCAGGAATCCGAGGATCAGTTGTCGCAACAACCGAAGGAAAATACAAACAATGCTAAAGGGGAATCGACCGCATGCATGGTTCATCAAGAAAACCCGATACGAATCACGCTTGATCTGAAAATTGCGATGACAACTGCATCCATGGAACTTCAAAATCACTGAGCGTAGCATATCATGACCGCAACAATCCAGATTTGCGACAATGAAACGAACTGCCGCTGCCACAGCAAGCACCAGGAGAGCAGCCTAGACAAAGATAGTCACAGCAGCGGCACTTGGGTGGTTCAGCAAGAGCTGTCTTGGAATACTTCTCAACGAGGATCCGTCTCCATTCGTGGTTGAGACCTTCGGGTCTTGTGCTGTTGCGAGGTAAGGTGTTTGTTCATCCCTAATCATGGGACTAGCGCGAAGGTGCCAGAACAAACATCTTTAACGAGACTCCGGCATGGGTTTTGGGTTTTGGGTTTAGGGTTTAGGGTTTAAGGTTTAGGGTTTAGGGTTTAGGGTATGCCAAGCTTGAGGATTCCAAGGGCTCCGAGCTGTTTCCATGGTTTGCCGTCCGTGGGGTCTCCACGTCTTCTTGGTCTGCCTTTTATGCAGATCCAGATCGGTAAACCTACCCAGCCCAAAGCACTCCTTGCGCAACATGCAGCCTCCCAATCAGCTGCTCGAGAGGACATGATACATAGCATATAATGTCTAATCTCGTAAATAAATGAACTGGTCTACAGTATACGGTATATTTTCAGGTAAATCATGTCTTCAGACGCAGCCGGGGAAGTCGTGTCACAGTAGGGTTGATCGAGCAGCGCTAGGAGGAGCGAGAAGCCCCCAATGCCTTCAAGAGCCAATAGTTCCTGCAGCCCAACGGTAAGCAGCAATAGCGTTCCAAAAGCTTCGGAGCTTTATCTTAATTCATGAGACCTCATTGAAGTCAAAGTCAAACAGCACCTGAGAGGGCATAGCCGTCGTCTCGATTGGTAGACCTTGGAAGAAGCCTTCGAAACCTGTCCAGATTTCGAGATCTGATGGCCGCCCGCGTGCGTTGAACCCACCGCGCCCATGTTCGAGTGCAATATTTGCTTTGAGACACCCTCTGAGCCGGTCGTGACCCGCTGCGGCCACCTGTGCCTCAACAGCGATTGTAGTTTTTTCAGCTTGAGGGTCGCTTCTCTGGTGTAAGAACTGGGTGCACCGTGACAGGCTCGGAGGGACAGGCTCAATGTTGTTGCATCTTGCTATCCGGACACTGTACTGACGGAACGGTTCATCACCGTCAGCATCACCATCACCAGCGAACCATACTGATCAGCATCGCCGCCACTATATTTTATCATCAGCATTGCATCATCACCATCAGCAGTTGCGGTATCATCCTCACCAGCATCATGTTTGCCATCAGCATCCCCATAAACATGGTCAGCAGCCGTATTGCAGCATCACGGCATTCGGAGATCTAAGAATCACCATTAGGTATCACCATGACCGCCATCGTCATCATCATCATCATCAACAACAACAGCAGCAGCATCTGAACTACCTTGATCATCAAAATACCTGCATGTTCGTAGCCGGCTCCTTCCAGGTGTGTGCAATTCCTTGTCGCACAGGGTTTAGGGCACCCTAAGCCCCCCAAAGCATGAAAGCCTACTAAAGCTAAACTGCACGAAGTCCTACATCCCTAAACCCCAAAAGCCCTAAAACACAAGAGTTTAGAACCACGAAGTCCCAGACCCAAAAACCCAAAAACTTAGGCCCTAAAGCTTAAAACCCCTAAACCCTAAACCCTAAACCCCTAAGCCCCAAACCCTAAAACCCAAGCTTCCCAGGTTCTGCTGGAAATGCCTGCATCTTTGGCTGTCGGCTCCCAGAAGGCGGGCTGGGCAACAAAACTCATCTTGGCTTAGGGTTTGGGGTTTTCGGGGATCAGGGCTCGGGGTTTTAGGGTTTAGGGTTTTGGGGATGAGGGTTTTGGGGATGAGGGTTATCACGATTTTGAGGGCAGTATACCTCGTCATCTGCCTGCAGAAAGGCCCCAACCCCCGTAAACCCTAAACCTTAGGTCGTAGGGTTCAGGGTTTAGGGGTTTAGGGTTTAGGGTTGATGTCAAAGGAGCGCGTTGTGGGCTGTGGGCTTGTGACATCTGCTGTTTGGGGGGAACTCGGCATGTTTGGGCCACCGGTGACGCAAAACAACTCTTCAGTTCGATTTTCCATCTGGGTGATCCCTAGAATGCACCTTACCTGGCGGACCTTGAAAAGAATGGTCTGCTTGAAGGAGAGTACGGT